GTGAACCCTCTGACCAGCAACCAGCATCTTACCAGCATGAAATGCGACCATGGGAACAACCCCTGAAAACTATAAGTAAACAACAGGAAAGAACTATAAAATTTAAATGTAAAGAAAACCAGGATCTCCTCAGATGTGTCTGGATCCTGGCCAGATCTGGATGTGTCTGAGTGAGGCAAGTCAATCCACCATATGACTCCCATGAATTTTGTCATATAAATTTATAGATTTGTTTGTTAAACTATATAAAAGCAGTACCCTCTCACAGCAAAGAGGAGACCTCACCTACGAGCGGACGCACTGCGTGGGACTTCCCAATTGCCGGGAAAGGCTCTCCGACCCTTCGCTGTGACGGGGCTCCCCAGCTGATGCACGGATCTGGATGATGGTAAAGTAGGAAGGGAATTGGTGTTGTATCTTTCTTAATCACTATAGCTAGCTTTATGTAGTAATGACTAGGTGCGTTACCTCGCTTATTCTTTCTGCTGCTTTAAACTAAAGTAAAATAAGCCTATTTCTTTAAATTTGTGTCTGTGTCCTTTGTGTTAACCCTGTCAATTGGCAAAACATGCAGTTATCCCTGAGTGTAGGGGATAAGGTGATGGAAACTCTGACCCACCAGAACCTGCACTCTGATGAGGTTCACTGAGGTCGGTGGAGTTGGCCACTGCTTCTCTTTTTCATCTGCACAAGAGTAACAGTAAACCTGAGTCCCTCATCCACTTTCAAGAAAACTAAAAAATAAAAAAAGTAGAGAAATCCATCAAGCAAGAAAAAAGCACCATATTTATTTCTACTTACAATCCTGATTCCATGAATTACATACCAAAATTATTTTAGTTGGATTTGTACAATAGCAAAATCTGAAAAAAGAGCAAGACATGGCACTTGGTCTAATGTCTCTGTACTGTAACTTCCCATCTGCTTATAGAATCATAGAATCATTTAGGTTGGATTGAGTTCAAGCATAGATCACTGAGTCCATAAAGCCATCCTTATCTAACCAGAAAACATCTCAGGCTGCAACAACCTTGAATGAAAAGTTAAATTGTATGTTACTTCTTGCAAAAGCCTTCCCAATCAAATTACCTTTCTTGAAAGTATTTCATTTTTATGAGGTTTACCAGAACTTGTAATCCTATGCTTCCTAATGTCCTCACTGCAGGCATCTTTGGTTCCTTTTGGTCATCATATCCACTTGTGTCTTCTGTTTTTTGATCCTGACTGGAAGATTAACTTTCATAACAGTAAGCATTTATTCCGAGCATGTTTTTTCGTGTCATGAAAATAGTGGGATTTGAAATGCTTAGTGAGAGAGGTGATTTCTGGCCACTTTGCCATCACTACCTGCCAGGAGCACAAGGATTCTCCAGCATCCTGGCATCTGGCTGTGTGCCTCCTGTGATGATTATGATATTGCCAGCACTTTGGGTTCTGGTGTCCTAGCAGGAGTAGACCTCAACAGAAATGAAGGGAAAGACTTTCTCATTCTGACAGAGCCTATTCTGAAAACAATGCAAGAGAGAATTTGTGTGGGCATTGTAAAATGACAGTGTTCTTGAGGTTATACCCAAACGTCCTGCTGTCTTGCTTGATTCCCCTCTCACAGTCCACAGTGTGGTTCACCTTGTATTGCCAGGATCTTGCTTCAGCAAACAAATTGACAGTGAACTAATTGACATGGAAAGCTCAGCTACCTTGATTTTCATATGTCAGTTCTGTCCCTACTCTCTAGAAAGGGGAAGATATTCATGCTTTGAACATCCCCCCAAATGTTGCTCAGACTGCATACCAAAAGAAGAGGGTAGCACTGCATTTCACACTCTTTCCAAATGAAAAGGTTTGCTGCAGCTCCACAAGCAACAGTGATGACAAGTGAGGCACGTTGCCTCCAGGAAGTACCTGCTTCTTCCAGCTGATGCAGAAGGACCTGTGGTAAGTGGTGAACATCTAGAAACAGAAGTGGGAGGTATTCTTGGGAGGTGTGGTTTAAGCTCATCAGAGAGCTTTCCCATCTTAGAACAGCAATCCACTTTTGCACAAACAAATCATGAATGTTTACTGGGATCTGCAGACACTGGCACAGAAAATCTTTTGATGGTCATGTTGGCACCTCACGAAAGCTTCTGTATGCAGATCTACAACTCTTTTCACTTTCTGGGTTGAGGATCCATTCTTTTCTGTGAGTGCTTAGAAGAACTGAAGGTCCTCCCTACCCAGTGACTCCTGGCCTGAAATCTAGGTCTTCTTCTTGACTGTCTCATGGAAGGATTAGCAAGCAATGGTGGAAGCTTCTTATATGAAGCTGTTCTTATATGAACTGTTCAACTTTGATTTGGTGGCAGAAAACTGGGGGTCTGACAAGAGTTCAGTGTGATCTCAGGCTCTGTGTTTCAATCATTCAATCGTTCAAGCATTCTCAATTCATCCATTCACTCATCATCATCATCACCATCATCAACCACCTGCACTATGCTTAGAGGCTCATCATCAGGCTTTGCAGCAGCAGGGCCTGTTGAGAAGAAAGGAAAAAACTCTTCCTGGCCACTGTCACCTCCCAAGGTGAAAATGTACAGAGCTGTTTTCTTATGGACATTGTAAAATGACAGCTGCTTAGCTGGGATGTCCAGGAAGATCCCAATCTTTTGCAGCTTTCCATTCACACTCAAATGCATCCAATGATCTGTGTAGGCCCAAAATTCTCGCCCATCTGCCAACCCTATGGTCCAGAAGCCATTCAGGGGACAGAGTCAATGTTCCTTTGCGAGTCACGGATTCCCGGGCAATACCCAAGGCCCAGTTTCTTTTTTGCCAACATCTACTTGCCAGTATGTCTCCCAGACGCGTATCCTTCCTTTGCCAACACAAAAGTGTGGGAATCAAATCTCTTCTCATTGTTGGGCAAGCATCTGATGGTGCCAGTGTCTTTCACACTCTTCCCATCGTCAGAGATTTCCAATCTGGGGTGAGCCGTGTCAGTGTCCAGGGTGACATCCACTGAAATGATCAGGTCACTTAAGTAGTAAAAAGCAGAAAAGCTGCTGCCATGAAACTTTCTATTATGTGTCCCCCCCAAATTGGTTCCCTTGCCATCCCTTGTTCTCCAATCTGATGCATTCTAGGCAGCCTCTTTACCCAGGATACCTCTAGCTTCTGCTGTCCCAAATCTGGCATGTCCCTTATCTCTCATCTATGGCATGCTGAGAGAGAGTTGACACGAGCCAAATGTAAAGTGACTCAGAGACACTCCTTTGAAGATATTATGTAGCATCAGGGAGGAGTATAAGGAGATTACAAGCCTTTGCCTTCATCATGGCAACTCTGTAGAGGTGACCAGAGGATAAGAACCATGCCTTTGCACACACCTCCTCTTTGGGCAAAACCAGAATCACAGAGTCCTCTTGCATGAGAGTATGGAGAAAATTTCCATTGACCAAGACTATATGACACAAATATACCAGGTCTGTGTAATCTCAGCAGTAGAAATTCTCCAAAAGCACCCTGAAATGAGCCTCTCATTGCTAAAATCTACCCTTTTCTTCTGAGAATCAATAATGCTGCTTTAAATCCAGGAAATTCTAATATTGACTTGTGAAATTTCTTGGGCAACAAATGAATAAGAGAAAGATTAAAAATCAATTCTTGCTCTTAAGAAGTCATCTAAACATTTCCATGTGAAGGAGGATTGTGTTTTCTAGAGCTGCATTTATGCTCCAAGAGAAGGGATTCAGTATGGATCCTTTTCTTACCTCTGTGGTGTTGTACCCTCAGAAATTCTGTAGGAAAACAAATAAAGGAAGCATTGAGTGGATTTAACAAGGAGACCATGGGTCCAGAGAGCTCATACAAAGTCTGTGATGCTGGCAGATGAGCATGTTCTCCCATAGTAGCATGTCTTTTCTAAAGATCAGAAAGCACATCACAAGCCCATCTCATCCTCCAAGGAGGAAAAGACACTGGGCAACTCAACTGATTGGTCTCATAGAAATATTTTAAACATGCCATGAATACAGAGGGGAAAGAGACCATGGTCCCTGGTAGGAAAGAGAGTAGACTGGTAAAAAGGCCAAAACCCTCATGTTTTGGAGAGGTATCTTGCAGATGTCATGAAAGGGGAAAACCCAATGTCTTACACACACTTGACAATACCTCATTGCTTCATAAACACATTCCTATATGTCTTGGAGACCAGGATACAGCTCATGTGATACTCTGGCATAATTCCCTCTCCTGTAAAAGGTATTCCTTAGAAATACATGATGTTTCCCAATAAAATTAAGCGAAGCAAGAATACTATGCTGAGCTGAGCAGGTTTTCAAATGACATCTCAGCATCTGTGTATTCCGGAGGAGCATCAGAAAGAAGATGTCACTTACTCATTTCTTTCACCAGTTGGTCTGTAATGACAAAGAGTAAGCAAAGACATAAGCATAAGTATTTGTACAAGAGGCCACTGAAAAGCATAGATGTCCTTTTCTCTCTCAAAAAATGGCCCATAAGTACCAAAGGCCCTCTCCCCAGCAGCAAAAAAAGGCAAACCATACAGGTGCTGCAGCTAGGTAGCAGAACAAAAGAAAATGTTACAGCCATCCAGCTGGACTATGATGAACTTGACACAAGGTGACTCCTGTCCACACTGAAAATCACATTCTTCCACCCACCGGTATGCCCTTCCTGCTCTCCACCCCACCTCTCTGTCATTCCCTCCATCTTTCCTCCTTCAAAAAGGAAAATTTTGCAAGCACAAGATCTTCATACAGGCTCCAGCCAAACAGCACGCCTCACCTAGTTGCACGAAACTGGGCAGCACTTGCAGGTGCCCATGTTCAGACACTGCATCAGCTGGAGCGCCTGAATATGGGCACCTGCTGCAGGGACCCCAAGGCACTGAGCTTATGGCCCACACAGAGAGACCCTTCTCTCACTGACACCAGCATGTCCCTCTTGGAAGGAGATTCTCCTGCAGCAATGACAACAGCCCAGCCAGTAGAGAGCACTTACTTTCTCCTCTTGCACCTGGTCTAAAAAAAAGAAGGGGAAAGACAGTTAGCAAAGAGAGATGGTGCAGCTCAGACCCTGCCTGTGCTCCAGAGGTGGGAGTTTGGCTGGATCTGCCTTTCCTCTGCCTGAGATCAGGTTTACTGTGGGGAAAGGGGTCTAGAGGAACGGGGACCTGGCAGGATGGGATTATGAGGGAGCCTAGAGGCTCTGCAGGACAAGAGCCAACCATGGGCTCTCAGCAGCTGCAAGGCAAGGTGTTGCATGAGCTTCTAGAAGGGTGGCCAGCTGATGCATGGAGAGAGATGGGGAAGGCCACAGCTGGGAGTGAGTGATCACCTGTGGGCTGCCAGGTTCACAAGAGATAGGGAGAAGCTGGAGAGGCTTTAGCAGAGAGCTCCCCATCTGGGCAGGAGGGTGGAGGTCCTGCTGTGCCTGTCCTGGCAGGTGGTGCCATGCGCTCCTTCCACGTGACCAAAAGGAGATGAAGGGCACCATCTCCAAGGAGCCTGTTGCTCCAGGAAGGGCATTGACCAGGAGGATGGTGAGAAGCGTGTCTGGGTGAGGATGGGGATTTTAGTAGGGAGCCACTGCCGTGAAATGGAGCTGGGGAGGGTGAGGCTAGGCGGAGGGGCAGAATTCCCCTTTGTCGTGGGTGGACTCTCACTTTGAAGGAGGGGACCCACTAGCAAAGTGCTGGCCATCCTCCTGGGTGTTCCTGTAGGAGCAGGTGTGCCAGAGCAGCGTGCCAGCTGAGGGAAGGAGGGCGAGGGGCACACAGGGAGGCAGTCAGCAGGCTCTGTGGCTGGCTGGCTGGGAGGAGGGCTGGGCCCAGGAGCACAGAGTACTCTCCATTCCACCCTGACCTCTAGGGACAAGCAGCCTCCCAGATGCCAGGAAGCACTCACCAAAAGACCTTTGAAGTTGTCCTGCAAGGGAACGGAGAAAGGCTGTTAGAGCTGGTGGAGGAAGCAATGCACGACGCCCTGGGGAAGGAGTTTGCTGGAGCTGGGATCCCCTCGAGAAGGCAAGTGCATTCATGGAGTAGTGAGTGCGTGCTGAGGCCAAGCACTGCCTTGGAAACCTTTGGGGTGCTGGTTCCTCACAGCTGAACAATCGCAACTTGCAAGGCCAGTCAACTGGACTGAAAAAACCTCACACGAGGTCACTTCTATCCACACTCAACATCACATTCCTCAAACCACTGTGATTTCCTTCCCTCCTTCCGTCTGCCTACCTTCCTCCCGACTGCCTTCTTGCCTTTCTCCTGTCTTCATGCTTCTGTTCTTCCTTCTTTCCTTCCCTCCTCCTTCTGATTCCTTCCCTCTTCCCTCCTTCCCACAGCACCTTTTTTTCAGGGGTAAACCTTTTTGCAGATTCCAGACACGCCCGAAACCTCAGCTGGAGTGCCTGAATATGGGCACCTGCTGCAGGGACCCCAAGGCACTGAGCTTATGGCCCACACAGAGAGACCCTTCTCTCACTGACACCAGCATGTCCCTCTTGGAAGGAGATTCTCCTGCAGCAATGACAACAGCCCAGCCAGTAGAGAGCACTTACCTTTCTCCTCTTGCACCTGGGCTAAAAAAAAGAAGGGGAAAGACAGTTAGCAAAGAGAGATGGTGCAGCTCAGACCCTGCCTGTGCTCCAGAGGTGGGAGTTTGGCTGGATCTGCCTTTCCTCTGCCTGAGATCAGGTTTACTGTGGGGAAAGGGGTCTAGAGGAACGGGGACCTGGCAGGATGGGATTATGAGGGAGCCTAGAGGCTCTGCAGGACAAGAGCCAACCATGGGCTCTCAGCAGCTGCAAGGCAAGGTGTGCATGAGCTTCTAGAAGGGTGGCCAGCTGATGCATGGAGAGAGATGGGGAAGGCCACAGCTGGGAGTGAGTGATCACCTGTGGGCTGCCAGGTTCACAAGAGATAGGGAGAAGCTGGAGAGGCTTTAGCAGAGAGCTCCCCATCTGGGCAGGAGGGTGGAGGTCCTGCTGTGCCTGTCCTGGCAGGTGGTGCCATGCGCTCCTTCCACGTGACCAAAAGGAGATGAAGGGCACCATCTCCAAGGAGCCTGTTGCTCCAGGAAGGGCATTGACCAGGAGGATGGTGAGAAGCGTGTCTGGGTGAGGATGGGGATTTTAGTAGGGAGCCACTGCCGTGAAATGGAGCTGGGGAGGGTGAGGCTAGGCGGAGGGGCAGCATTCCCCTTTGTCGTGGGTGGACTCTCACTTTGAAGGAGGGGACCCACTAGCAAAGTGCTGGCCATCCTCCTGGGTGTTCCTGTAGGAGCAGGTGTGCCAGAGCAGTGCCAGCTGAGAGAAGGAGGGCGAGGGGCACACAGGGAGGCAGTCAGCAGGCTCTGTGGCTGGCTGGCTGGGAGGAGGGCTGGGCCCAGGAGCACAGAGTACTCTCCATTCCCACCCTGACCTCTAGGGACAAGCAGCCTCCCAGATGCCAGGAAGCACTCACCAAAGACCTTTGAAGTTGTCCTGCAAGGGAACGGAGAAAGGCTGTTAGAGCTGGTGGAGGAAGCAATGCACGACGCCCTGGGGAAGGAGTTTGCTGGAGCTGGGATCCCCTCGAGAAGGCAAGTGCATTCATGGAGTAGTGCAAGTGCGTGCTGAGGCCAAGCACTGCCTTGGAAACCTTTGGGGTGCTGGTTCCTCACAGCTGAACAATCGCAACTTGCAAGGCCAGTCAATTGGACTGAAAAAACCTCACACGAGGTCACTTCTATCCACACTCAACATCACATTCCTCAAAACCACTGTGATTTCCTTCCCTCCTTCCTTCCTGCCTACCTCCTCTTCTTCCTTTCCTCCTGACTGCCTTCTTGCCTTTCTCCTGTCTTCATGCCTACTGTTCTTCCTTCTTTCCTTCCCTCCTCCTTCTGATTCCTTCCCTCTTCCCTCCTTCCCACAGCACCTTTTTTTCAGGGGTAAACCTTTTTGCAGATTCCAGACACACCCGAAAACCTCAGCTGGAGTGCCTGAACATGGGCACCTGCTGCAGGGACCCCAAGGCACTGAGCTTATGGCCCACACAGAGAGACCCTTCTCTCACTGACACCAGCATGTCCCTCTTGGAAGGAGATTCTCCTGCAGCAATGACAACAGCCCAGCCAGTAGAGAGCACTTACCTTTCTCCTCTTGCACCTGGTCTAAAAAAAAGAAGGGGAAAGACAGTTAGCAAAGAGAGATGGTGCAGCTCAGACCCTGCCTGTGCTCCAGAGGTGGGAGTTTGGCTGGATCTGCCTTTCCTCTGCCTGAGATCAGGTTTACTGTGGGGAAAGGGGTCTAGAGGAACGGGGACCTGGCAGGATGGGATTATGAGGGAGCCTAGAGGCTCTGCAGGACAAGAGCCAACCATGGGCTCTCAGCAGCTGCAAGGCAAGGTGTGCATGAGCTTCTAGAAGGGTGGCCAGCTGATGCATGGAGAGAGATGGGGAAGGCCACAGCTGGGAGTGAGTGATCACCTGTGGGCTGCCAGGTTCACAAGAGATAGGGAGAAGCTGGAGAGGCTTTAGCAGAGAGCTCCCCATCTGGGCAGGAGGGTGGAGGTCCTGCTGTGCCTGTCCTGGCAGGTGGTGCCATGCGCTCCTTCCACGTGACCAAAAGGAGATGAAGGGCACCATCTCCAAGGAGCCTGTTGCTCCAGGAAGGGCATTGACCAGGAGGATGGTGAGAAGCGTGTCTGGGTGAGGATGGGGATTTTAGTAGGGAGCCACTGCCGTGAAATGAGCTGGGGAGGGTGAGGCTAGGCGGAGGGGCAGCATTCCCCTTTGTCGTGGGTGGACTCTCACTTTGAAGGAGGGGACCCACTAGCAAAGTGCTGGCCATCCTCCTGGGTGTTCCTGTAGGAGCAGGTGTGCCAGAGCAGCGTGCCAGCTGAGGGAAGGAGGGCGAGGGGCACACAGGGAGGCAGTCAGCAGGCTCTGTGGCTGGCTGGCTGGGAGGAGGGCTGGGCCCAGGAGCACAGAGTACTCTCCATTCCCACCCTGACCTCTAGGGACAAGCAGCCTCCCAGATGCCAGGAAGCACTCACCAAAAGACCTTTGAAGTTGTCCTGCAAGGGAACGGAGAAAGGCTGTTAGAGCTGGTGGAGGAAGCAATGCACGACGCCCTGGGGAAGGAGTTTGCTGGAGCTGGGATCCCCTCGAGAAGGCAAGTGCATTCATGGAGTAGTGCAAGTGCGTGCTGAGGCCAAGCACTGCCTTGGAAACCTTTGGGGTGCTGGTTCCTCACAGCTGAACAATCGCAACTTGCAAGGCCAGTCAATTGGACTGAAAAAACCTCACACGAGGTCACTTCTATCCACACTCAACATCACATTCCTCAAAACCACTGTGATTTCCTTCCCTCCTTCCTCCCTGCCTACCTTCCTCCCTGACTGCCTTCTTGCCTTTCTCCTGTCTTCATGCCTTCTGTTCTTCCTTTTTCCTTCCCTCCTCCTTCTGATTCCTTCCCTCTTCCCTCCTTCCCACAGCACCTTTTTTTCAGGGGTAAACCCTTTTTGCAGATTCCAGACACACCCGAAAACCTCAGCTGGAGTGCCTGAACATGGGCACCTGCTGCAGGGACCCCAAGGCACTGAGCTTATGGCCCACACAGAGAGACCCTTCTCTCACTGACACCAGCATGTCCCTCTTGGAAGGAGATTCTCCTGCAGCAATGACAACAGCCCAGCCAGTAGAGAGCACTTACCTTTCTCCTCTTGCACCTGGCTAAAAAAAAGAAGGGGAAAGACAGTTAGCAAAGAGAGATGGTGCAGCTCAGACCCTGCCTGTGCTCCAGAGGTGGGAGTTTGGCTGGATCTGCCTTTCCTCTGCCTGAGATCAGGTTTACTGTGGGGAAAGGGGTCTAGAGGAACGGGGACCTGGCAGGATGGGATTATGAGGGAGCCTAGAGGCTCTGCAGGACAAGAGCCAACCATGGGCTCTCAGCAGCTGCAAGGCAAGGTGTTGCATGAGCTTCTAGAAGGGTGGCCAGCTGATGCATGGAGAGAGATGGGGAAGGCCACAGCTGGGAGTGAGTGATCACCTGTGGGCTGCCAGGTTCACAAGAGATAGGGAGAAGCTGGAGAGGCTTTAGCAGAGAGCTCCCCATCTGGGCAGGAGGGTGGAGGTCCTGCTGTGCCTGTCCTGGCAGGTGGTGCCATGCGCTCCTTCCACGTGACCAAAAGGAGATGAAGGGCACCATCTCCAAGGAGCCTGTTGCTCCAGGAAGGGCATTGACCAGGAGGATGGTGAGAAGCGTGTCTGGGTGAGGATGGGGATTTTAGTAGGGAGCCACTGCCGTGAAATGGAGCTGGGGAGGGTGAGGCTAGGCGGAGGGGCAGAATTCCCCTTTGTCGTGGGTGGACTCTCACTTTGAAGGAGGGGACCCACTAGCAAAGTGCTGGCCATCCTCCTGGGTGTTCCTGTAGGAGCAGGTGTGCCAGAGCAGCGTGCCAGCTGAGGGAAGGAGGGCGAGGGGCACACAGGGAGGCAGTCAGCAGGCTCTGTGGCTGGCTGGCTGGGAGGAGGGTTGGGCCCAGGAGCACAGAGTACTCTCCATTCCCACCCTGACCTCTAGGGACAAGCAGCCTCCCAGATGCCAGGAAGCACTCACCAAAGACCTTTGAAGTTGTCCTGCAAGGGAACGGAGAAAGGCTGTTAGAGCTGGTGGAGGAAGCAATGCACGACGCCCTGGGGAAGGAGTTTGCTGGAGCTGGGATCCCCTCGAGAAGGCAAGTGCATTCATGGAGTAGTGCGAGTGCGTGCTGAGGCCAAGCACTGCCTTGGAAACCTTTGGGGTGCTGGTTCCTCACAGCTGAACAATCGCAACTTGCAAGGCCAGTCAACTGGACTGAAAAAACCTCACACGAGGTCACTTCTATCCACACTCAACATCACATTCCTCAAAACCACTGTGATTTCCTTCCCTCCTTCCGTCCTGCCTACCTTCCTCCCGACTGCCTTCTTGCCTTTCTCCTGTCTTCATGCCTTCTGTTCTTCCTTCTTTCCTTCCCTCCTCCTTCTGATTCCTTCCCTCTTCCCTCCTTCCCACAGCACCTTTTTTTCAGGGGTAAACCTTTTTGCAGATTCCAGACACGCCCGAAAGCCTCAGCTGGAGTGCCTGAATATGGGCACCTGCTGCAGGGACCCCAAGGCACTGAGCTTATGGCCCACACAGAGAGACCCTTCTCTCACTGACACCAGCATGTCCCTCTTGGAAGGAGATTCTCCTGCAGCAATGACAACAGCCCAGCCAGTAGAGAGCACTTACCTTTCTCCTCTTGCACCTGGGCTAAAAAAAGAAGGGAAAGACAGTTAGCAAAGAGAGATGGTGCAGCTCAGACCCTGCCTGTGCTCCAGAGGTGGGAGTTTGGCTGGATCTGCCTTTCCTCTGCCTGAGATCAGGTTTACTGTGGGGAAAGGGGTCTAGAGGAAGGGGACCTGGCAGGATGGGATTATGAGGGAGCCTAGAGGCTCTGCAGGACAAGAGCCAACCATGGGCTCTCAGCAGCTGCAAGGCAAGGGTGCATGAGCTTCTAGAAGGGTGGCCAGCTGATGCATGGAGAGAGATGGGGAAGGCCACAGCTGGGAGTGAGTGATCACCTGTGGGCTGCCAGGTTCACAAGAGATAGGGAAAGCTGGAGAGGCTTTAGCAGAGAGCTCCCCATCTGGGCAGGAGGGTGGAGGTCCTGCTGTGCCTGTCCTGGCAGGTGGTGCCATGCGCTCCTTCCACGTGACCAAAAGGAGATGAAGGGCACCATCTCCAAGGAGCCTGTTGCTCCAGGAAGGGCATTGACCAGGAGGATGGTGAGAAGCGTGTCTGGGTGAGGATGGGGATTTTAGTAGGGAGCCACTGCCGTGAAATGGAGCTGGGGAGGGTGAGGCTAGGCGGAGGGGCAGCATTCCCCTTTGTCGTGGGTGGACTCTCACTTTGAAGGAGGGACCCACTAGCAAAGTGCTGGCCATCCTCCTGGGTGTTCCTGTAGGAGCAGGTGTGCCAGAGCAGCATGCCAGCTGAGGGAAGGAGGGCGAGGGGCACACAGGGAGGCAGTCAGCAGGCTCTGTGGCTGGCTGGCTGGGAGGAGGGCTGGGCCCAGGAGCACAGAGTACTCTCCATTCCCACCCTGACCTCTAGGGACAAGCAGCCTCCCAGATGCCAGGAAGCACTCACCAAAAGACCTTTGAAGTTGTCCTGCAAGGGAACGGAGAAAGGCTGTTAGAGCTGGTGGAGGAAGCAATGCACACGCCCTGGGGAAGGAGTTTGCTGGAGCTGGGATCCCCTCGAGAAGGCAAGTGCATTCATGGAGTAGTGCAAGTGCTGCTGAGGCCAAGCACTGCCTTGGAAACCTTTGGGGTGCTGGTTCCTCACAGCTGAACAATCGCAACTTGCAAGGCCAGTCAATTGGACTGAAAAAACCTCACACGAGGTCACTTCTATCCACACTCAACATCACATTCCTCAAACCACTGTGATTTCCTTCCCTCCTTCCTCCCTGCCTACCTTCCTCCCTGACTGCCTTCTTGCCTTTCTCCTGTCTTCATGCCTTCTGTTCTTCCTTCTTTCCTTCCCTCCTCCTTCTGATTCCTTCCCTCTTCCCTCCTTCCACAGCACCTTTTTTTCAGGGGTAAAACCTTTTTGCAGATTCCAGACACGCCCGAAAGCCTCAGCTGGAGTGCCTGAATGGGCACCTGCTGCAGGGACCCCAAGGCACTGAGCTTATGGCCCACACAGAGAGACCCTTCTCTCACTGACACCAGCATGTCCCTCTTGGAAGGACGTCTCCCACTGAACAACAGCCCAGCCAGTAGAGAGCACTTACTTTCTCCTCTTGCACCTGGGCTAAAAAAAAGAAGGGGAAAGACAGTTAGCAAAGAGAGATGGTGCAGCTCAGACCCTGCCTGTGCTCCAGAGGTGGAGTTTGGCTGGATCTGCCTTTCCTCTGCCTGAGATCAGGTTTACTGTGGGGAAAGGGGTCTAGAGGAACGGGACCTGGCAGGATGGGATTATGAGGGAGCCTAGAGGCTCTGCAGGACAAGAGCCAACCATGGGCTCTCAGCAGCTGCAAGGCAAGGTGTTGCATGAGCTTCTAGAAGGGTGGCCAGCTGATGCATGGAGAGAGATGGGGAAGGCCACAGCTGGGAGTGAGTGATCACCTGTGGGCTGCCAGGTTCACAAGAGATAGGGAGAAGCTGGAGAGGCTTTAGCAGAGAGCTCCCCATCTGGGCAGGAGGGTGGAGGTCCTACTGTGCCTGTCCTGGCAGGTGGTGCCATGCGCTCCTTCCACGTGACCAAAAGGAGATGAAGGGCACCATCTCCAAGGAGCCTGTTGCTCCAGGAAGGGCATTGACCAGGAGGATGGTGAGAAGCGTGTCTGGGTGAGGATGGGGATTTTAGTAGGGAGCCACTGCCGTGAAATGGAGCTGGGGAGGGTGAGGCTAGGCGGAGGGGCAGCATTCCCCTTTGTCGTGGGTGGACTCTCACTTTGATGGACGGGACCCAGTAAGAAAGTGGATATCTGCCCTATAACTGTTAATATTTAGGCCAATGTGTCCTTCCTTCATAAACTTTTTCAGTGCTTGTTACCAGCGGTAATGCAATATTAGGTGCCATACACACTCAGCTGCGTGGAGATCTCACAGAATAGGGTTAACTAACATGCCTATTCTTTCTTCACTTCTCTCTTCTTATGTCTTTGTCTCACCTTGCTGATATTGTATGGGTAGTTGGACATTAAAGAAATGGGTTTGTGGAAGCTTACATGGCAGGCTCTTTAATAGTGAGGAATTGCCAGGAAATGCAGCATGGGAGCGTTAAGTTTAACCACCTGTTTGGGGGCTAACAGCCTAATACTTTCTTTGTTCTAAAAGTGCTCATAGCATCTCTGAGTTAAGCCTCCGGAGTCCCAAGAAGATTCCCTTCTTCTTAAAGATTCTCATTCGCTATGTTTTCTAGCTATCACACATGACCTATTTGCCCCATTACACTAACTCCTACCAATGACCTTAAAATGTCACATTTGCATAGAGAATTGCTCTGTGTCCCCACAGAAATGATGGAAAACACCCACCAAGTAAGTAGTTAGGGCAGTGATAGCTCCTTACAGACATCCCCACATATTTAAAGGCACTTATGGAGAAGTGATTTACAAGGAGAAATAAGCCATTACCTTCACCTAACAAAGGGTCTCCTGCAGAATAAAAGACATTTTAAAATATTGATTGTTGTGACTTAAAATGGAAAAATAAATAGACTTAGCTACCACTTATGAGGAACTTTGCCATCTTATGTTGTGCAGCAGCATCTTCTCAATCCCAGCCTGCACCCAGATGGGCTCTGGGCACCCATAGAGCTCCCGCCCCCACAACTGCTATTGCAGTGTCCATGTGGCCATTACTTCCTGATGCCTACATATTTATGCCTGTGTGCACTATCTGACCTGCCACCCCTCATCCCTCGTGGTTCTCCTGCTGAGAGCGTCAAAGTCAATGGCAGGATGGTGGACAAAGACACATTTCATACATGTAAGCTGTGAACTGATGTGGTTGAGCTAGAGTGATTCTGCTGCATGAGAAGCACCGTCCCTGAGGAAGAACTGTGTGAGAGCCAAGTAGTTTCACACTGACTCTGGCCATGCAGAAATGTTCAACAGCTTAGCTGGGAACAACTAAGTGGCATCTTTCCCATCTAAAGGTCAGTGCCATCTAAGTCTAAATATTTCAAATAGTTCTTTCCTTTCTACCTGCGCAGAAGTTTGATCTGCAAAAGAATTAAGTTTTACATATCAATCTTTGCCTTTTATTCCTTTAACAAATGTTTTGAATATTTGTTTAGCATATATTACCTTCTTTCTGACGTCTGGAGTAACCTGGAAGGGAGGACAAAGCAGAAGAGATCAAAAAGGATGACTCCCTTTTCTGTGGCTGTACTCACAAAGGTCTAAGTGTTAGTAAATTGAGGATTGTCTAGTTGCTGCTCTAGGTTATGGGCTAAATGACTGTAAAGGATTATGCATATCAAAATATGGAAATCCTTTAAATTCAGAAGAAAATTCACAGCATAGACTTGGGGCTGGGTGCTGGAGGACATTTATGCCAAGCTAATGTCTTCTCTGGTACAAAAAAAATCGAGGAGTTTTGCAATATAGCCAATCAAACAAAACTGGTGGTTTCCGAAATATTATTGAGGGTACTTGTGAAAAAGGAGATGTGTCAAAAGCAAGAGGGAGCAATGTACACAACAGTGTAATGGAGGATATGTTACACTGCAGAGGAGTCAGAGTCCATCATCTGGTTCTGTGGTGGTGCAACTCCCTCCCCTCAGCTCCTTGGCTGCTGAGTACTCAGTGCAATTCCTCTTCCTGGGCCACATGTCAACCTAAGATGAATTGCAAAAGGCAGCAGACCAGAAAATTAACTCACCCCCTTAATGTACCTGTCTTCTGCTTCCCCTATTGCTTGGGAATGATAATGACAACCAGTAACGTCCTGACAGCCCAGTACATCTGTACCTGGGCTGTAGCCCAAAGGTGCTGATACCAGAACTCCAAAATCTAGCATGGTTTGGGCCTGCACAACTGGTGGAAAGTACCAGAATATTTCATAATCCAAGTTGAGCTGAAATGGAAAAGTACCTGACAAAAGTGAATTATGTTGGACCCTATAAGTAGTGACCCTAAGCAAGACCCTTTGAGCTCTCCTGGATTGCAGCAGGCTTTGGCCAGCATCTCTCCAGAGTTGGGATGCCTCTCAGGAACAGACTCTTCAAGGTTTAAAGACTGTCTGCTGACATTTCCAACAAAGGGCTGGAGTAAAGTCAGGCTTCTCAATGTTCAACTATCACCCATTGAAGAATGCTGATACATTGTGAATATTTACTCAACTTGAGAAGAGGGAAATTTTAACTATAATCTAGCCTCTTCCATCTACCGCTCTCCCTATGTGTTTGAATATGTACATTTACCTTCATGAGTGTAGGTGTCCACTTATTTCAGTGGATCCAAATATTTCTGCCTCTGTGTGTGTGTATGTTTTGTGCTTATACATATGGAAAAAAAATATATTTTGATTTAGGGTACCTTGGAGTCAGTTAGTGTGAATCTTGTCATTCTCAAATCTGTAATTAAGTCGGTATTTTAATTATAACATATTCCACCAAATCACCTTGTTAACCTTTAAATTGGTCAGTCATTAAGTGCTGCTAAAATGTAACATTTTGATCCACCTCACACTAGTAATAAATTTTGAATTGCTGATAAATCATAACCATGTCAAATATTTTCATCCAAAACAGGCTCTTATCATGT